GCTTTGGGCTAGCAAAGTTATGGAATTTTCCTATTTGTTCCTGAGCTTATCACTCTTAGCTGGAAAAGCTTTATGTCTTCATTTTCTTTAATTCTACCCTGCATCCTATCTGGCTCCTAAGACAGCAAAACTACTAATTTTCTTGCCCAGTCTTAGGTTTATTAAGCTACCATATTAGACAATAATCCTGAGTGGGGGAAGAAAAGTGCTTTGGAAGTGAAGCTTCTGTTCGTACTTACTTTTCCTCTGAAGCCTCCATTCTGGACTTCCTATTACCTGTAAATGAAGTCCAAATTCTGAGCATTACTTATAAATTCCCAATTTAACTTCTTAAGCATCATCTCCTAAAGTGTATTTCCAGTTCCTTTTTAGTACTTGAAGCTGCTGTTCTCTGCCTTTGCCTTGCCCATTTATCCTTATCTCTCAAGGCTCGCCTTTTTGAAACCATGACCATTCTCTCAGATTGACTTTGCTACTCTCATATCTGTTTTCATTGCACTTAGTTTATATTACCGACCAGTATTGGGAGTGCTGTGGCTCTTTAGGATAAGCATTGGATTGCTAACCACAAGGTTGGTGGTTTCAGCCCACTGACTGCTCCTAAGGAGAAACTGAGGCTTTCTGTTCCCACAAAGATGTATGACCTCAAAAACCCTTTACCAAATCAGAACTGACTTGACAGCACTTAACAACAACCACCTTTGTTATAGAAGTTGAAATATACTATGATGCATTAGTTCTGAGAAGTACATTTTTTAAAAATAACATTTTAGCATCTCTGAAATTAGAGTATGTGTTATAAGTGATTTTATGAAATAGATTTTAATTTTATTCTAGTCAGAAGGGCTATCTTTTGCCTCTAAGCTCTTTCAGCATTTGGGATCTGTATGGACCTTTTGACACTCAGAGTGTGTAATCACAAGTTCATTGGTATTGTATAGTGCCTTTAGGTCTTCTGTCTCCAGTTGGGGTAGGATTGAATGTGGGTCTGTCTAACTCACACATTCATAGCAAAATACTGAGAAATATGTTTGATTTACAGCACATACCCTTTTCTCACCCATCTAAGTCCATAAAAATGGCTTTTAAGTGTGAGGAAATTTCAGGGTCTAAACTCTGTTTACAAGAAAAATTTAGATAAATTTTATAACTATAATTAGATTGTAGTATTTTGGGTCCAGTCAAGAGCTAGAAATGACACAGTAGGTTCAGTAGATATTTTATATAAAAAGATGTTGTTGTTGTTAAGTGCTGTAGAGTTGTTTGTAGCCCATAGCATCTCTGTATAGGGTTTCCAAGGAGTGGCTGGTGAATTCAAACTGCCAGCCTTGTGGTTGTAACTGACATTGCAGTCCAGTACATTAATCCACAGTGCTACACCAGGACTCAAAAAGGTATTAACTGTGATAAAAGAGTCCTGGTTTGGCACTGTGTGCTAATGCATCAGACTGCAAAGTCATTTGAACTGCCAGGCCGGTGGTTCAAGCTCACTAGCTGCTCCTTGGAAACCCTATACAGGGTTGCTTTGGGTTGGAATCGCCTCAATGGCACTTAACAACAACATGATAAAAGATAAATTATAAGATGATAAAGAACAACTGCATAGTATCATTGGGCTGAGAGGGAAGAACAAACTTGGAAGGGGTTGTAGATCTCAGTGGAGAGTAGGTGTGGTTCAGCACCCTGACAACAGAGAAATTCACTGGTTCTGTATCAAGCCAGTGGTGATCTGATGTGTGTGCATGGAGAGGCTGGCCATTGGTAATCTGTGGCATGGATGTGCAATGGGAGTCTGGGTTCCAGTGAGAACAGGAGACCTTCAGAGTGTATAGACTTACGATTACCATGTCAAGAGGACTACAGAAAAATTATCAACAGATTGAGGCTACAAGATCCCAGAGGGCTGGTTGTATTTGGGCTAGTGGCTGCTTTTGGCTCGACTAATTGTTCCCACACCGATGACTCCCAGTCTGCACCTGAAAAGGCAGGGAAACATGCTCTACTACACGGTTACTTTAGTGCCTTCTATTGAAAAAGCTTAACATCATGCTCACTTTAAAAGAGAAATATGTGGAAGAATTCTAAACATAAGTTGAAGGGCGCGTTCAGAACTGATAAGCAAAAATTGATAACTGATAGAGAGTTATGAAAGACTGAATGGTCAATTTCAGTCTTCCCTGACATTTTTCTTGTTTAGCTCCAGTCTACTATACGACTTACTATTATTCTTTCTGGGTTGAATTATTTCTAGGTATAGGTCTAAGTTGTACTAATTTCTTTCTTATTTATTCTAGTCCAGGTGTGGCATTGTAGGATAAATAACTAGACCGCAAGGTCAGTGGTTCGAACTCACAAGCCGCTCCTAGGAACCCTATACATGGTCACCATGAGTCAGAATTGACTTGATGGCACTTGAAAACACCAATAGCTTTGCCTACCCCTTTCTGTTTGGCTTCTAACCCATCTCAGCACCTCAGAACACTATTTCTTCACGTCTCACCGCTTAGAGTGGTGAGACTTTTGAAACATTCCTTTCCATTTTCTGAGTACATGTTCCCCTTACCAAAAACTATCTTTCCATCTCTCTTTACTATGGATGCAGTTTTGGCAATGTCACTTGTAACTAACGCCTTTCTTCAATCTCTGGAGACCAGGTATAATTATTGTTGTTGATAAATGCCATTGAGTCAGTTGTGACTCATAGCAACCCTGTATAGGGTTTCCAAGGAGCTGCTGGTGGGTTTGAACCACTGATACTGCTGTTATTAGTCCAGTGCTTATCCTAGAGCACTACACCAGGACTCCTCAGGTGTAATAAGAATAATCTTTAATAATCTGTGGGAAATTTTCTTAGTTAAAATTTACATTTTGCAGCATTTTAATAGATGTCCTTCAGAGTCCTGGTGTGGCGCTGTGGGCTAATGCATCAGACTGCAAAGTCAGTGGTTCAAGCTCACCAGCTGCTCCTTGGAAATCCTGTACAGGGTCGCTATGGGTTGGTATCAACTTGACAGCACTTAATAATAACAACAACAGCTTATACCTAACTGGTTATTTCATCCTGTCAAAGTTAGTTCCTAGCCCTGCTTTTCAAAATCAAGATTTTGTTTTGGGGTTTTTGGTTTTTTGGAGGAGAGGATATATTTTGTTAAACATATACTATGATACTGATTTCAAAGAAGACTTACTTTAGTTTAAAGGAAGTCAGCTTACTGCATTTTTTAAGTACTGTGAATGGAGTTGTAGTTTTGTTGTTTTTTTTTTCTCCTCTTCCTTTCTCTCTTCTTTTCATTGTTTTATAAGTATTTCTTCCCAAGAATTTTAATGTATTCCCTGCTGTTTGTTTTAATGGTATTATTCTATTAGAATCCCATTCTAAAAATACAGAAGTAACTTGAAATTAGCTATCTAAGACACTGTTAAATTAAAATTTGCCTATAAGGAACACTGGTGGCACTATAGTATAAGCACTAGACAGCTAACCACAAGGTCATCAATTTAAACTTACCAGGTGCTCCATGGGAGAAAGTTGAGGCTTTGGGTTCCTATAAATAAAGATTTACAGTTTTTCTGTAAGTCTGCATCAACTCGAAGGCAGTGATTTTAGTTTTTTAAATAATTACGTAGAGACAGCCATTGTCATGGAGTTGATTCTGACTCATAGCAACCCTGTAGGACCAAGTAGAACAGCCCCTTAAGGATTCCAAGGCTGTAAATCTTTACAGAAACAGGCTCATCTTTCTACCTCAGAGTGGCACTAGGCTCCTAAGCACATAGAAATGCATCTTTTAACACAGAATTACTTGTAGGAGGATTTATGTGTTCTGTTTCTTAAGGATCCTCATTTGATTACTCTAAAGGGGTTACCCTTTGCATTGACATAAGTATTTAGAACTGGAGTTTCTGAAATTTAAAATTCTGTTTTTTAAAACAACTGAGTGGAAGAAAGATCAGGATTTAAAGTCTTGGAAACCCTAGGGTTCCTATGAGTCCAAATTGACTTGTTGGCAGTGGGGTTTGGTTTGGGGAACAGCTAATATATTTTGCGTTTTATATATGAGCTTATTTGGAAAGTATTTGTTTCTTTTTTTTTAAGAAGTAGAAATTGGTCAGCTTATTTATTTTTATTTTTTGAAAACTTCCATTGAATACAAGTTGCTTTTATTTAGTTCAGAATAAATAGAGAATTTACTTAAATATCATCAGACTTTAGAGAAATTATTTTAGGAACATAAATCCATTTGAAACTCTTACAGCACCTGAAAATTTCTAACTGTAGTTGTTTCAAAAATGAATACTCAGAATTATGTATAGTCATATATGGTCAGATATTAAATCGAAAAGAATACATAAGGTGCCGTGTGTAAGTAACCAACAATATGTAAATGTAGATTTACTGAACACATGGATGATGGGGTATTTATTTACTTTCTCAAAGGTTTCACTGTGTTATTGTTAGGTGCCATCAAGTTGGTACCAACTCATAGTGACCTTATGCACAGCAGAACGAAACACTGCCTGATCCTGGGCCAACCTCACTCTTGTTGCCACAGTTGAGTCCATTGATGCTGCCACCTGGCCAGTCCATTTCGCGGGCAGTCTTGCTTTTCTGTAGGAGCCTCTAAATAATGTGTCGTCCTTAAAGCATTTTAACATACGATTTATGAAAACTCTTTCTGAATAACAGGAAGTCATGAAAATCCTGGAAATTCTGTAGTTGTCTTTTTGTTGATAGTAATCATTTTAAGATAAAAAATCTTGACAAGTGAAAAAAATGTAAGTTATTGCTATTATGATTCTTTTTATTAAAAACTAAGTAACAAAATAATTTTAAATGCCTGATCCCTGATCTATATTATATATCACTACGTTAAGTAAACTTTAGTAATATTTCATTGCAATATTTTTAAATAACTTTGACTTTGTATAACTCCAGCTTACTAAACTTCTAAATTCAGCAGGAACATTTACATATCAGTTTTATTTATTTCTGTTTTTAGGTTAAATCTGTAAAAACTGGGTCAGTGTTTTGGACAGTGTGCTGCTGCTTATCGTATTTCTACATGGTAAGATTTTATATTTGAAACTATATGAGGTCTAGCAGGTCTTTGGCATTGGCAATTAGACCATATATTTACTCTTCTTTTTTATTACTTTCTCATCCAGGGCTAGCTCACCACTTACTTTCTCCCAAAGTCTGTAGGATATTGATTTTGATTTTTGTGTTCTCTCTCATTATTATTATTACTCCCACCCCAGTTCTTCAAACTCGGGGGCCTATGTGGACTTTCGGGAAGAGATTTGGATGCTATAATACTGAATACTGAAATACAATATTTGAGTGAACCAAAAGGTTTTGTTTTCTAATGTTGAACGTTGTTAAGTGCTGACAAGTCTCCTCCGACACATAGTGACCCTGTATAGGGTTTCCAAGGAACAGCTGGTGGTCTTGAGCTGCTGACGTTATGATTCATAATCCAGTGCTGATCCTACAGTGCCATACCAGGTGTCCCTTTATTGTTTAGTCATGTTTAAATTTTTAACTTTTTTTCTATTGTTTTTAGCTACTATTTTTAATTATTCTGACAAGTAAAATATTTTCCAAATTTGATTGCAAACTTGTTGAAATCAGGAGATTTGGGTTGCCAAATCTTGAGTATAGAGCTGTATTTATAATAAATTAGTCTTTGCTTAACACTTAAATAATTGCTTGATGGTCTAATAATCTGTTTCCTTAAAAGACATCATACACTCAATTAAGTGAGGTGACTCTAGAACAAAAATTAAATCCCTTGAAAGTCTTAGTGAAAATGATAACACAAATAGACTGAAGAGATTGCGAGAATCAGAGAGAAAATTGTAGAAAGAATATCTTTCTTGTCCCTTTCTGTTCTCTCTCTATTCCTTAAAGTAAATGATGAAAAAACCCTGAAAATGAATTTGAGTAGACCAGTAGTTCCTGGATGATACAAAAGGGTTAGTGTGCTTGGTTGCTAGGTTCACTTCTACCCATAAATACCTTGGGGAAAAAATCTGGTAATGTACTTCAGAAACTAGTTATAGACCAGAAAATAAAGGGAATAAATAATACCATGTTGTAAAGGTCATACATAAGATCAGCAAGTACTTACCAAATTGCTTTCTTTTTTTCTTCTTCTCATACTTATGTGGAAAAAATAGAGAGGTAGCATTGAAATAATTTCTCGAATTTTTGAGTTCTAGCAGTTCTTTAGAGTTATTACCTACGGTAGTAGCCACATCCTCCAGGCTAATTTTTGAACTACCTACATGATTTTTCTTCAACAAATAATTGAAGATTGGATTCACTGTATCTCTTGGTTATCCTGCCTCTTTTCCACACTATGGTCTATATAGTAGTCTTGTGCTAAATAAATAAATGTCATAGAATTTATCTATCCAAATAATCTTCAGTCCTTTTGAAGTTTTTAGAGCCTGAGTCATATTCTGTATAATTGTACTCAGTAATGATAGACCTATTCTCTTAACAAGTTTAGACATAACATTTTGAATATAACTAGTTCTTTCATTAGCACTTTTACTCAGGATAATATTGGGTTTGGGTGAAAATAACATGATTAAAGCAATAAACTTACATTGGGGTTCTGAAACATTTTAGATAAGAGCAGCCGTGTTAGAGTATAGGAGTACAGTGTGTGGTGTACATATAGCTTCCGAAGATGGGTAGTTAATGATAGAAGTGATTCTTTCAAACTTGTAATTATGAGTACACCCAAAAACTTTGTTCTTGACAGAAGATCTTATTACCTCCCATAACCTTAGTTATTCTGATTCAATAGGATTGTTCTAATTTAGTAGTACAGCTAAACATTAAAATTAGGTCTTGCTTTGTAATATTTGTAGAAAATAAATGATAACCTAGTGTAGCTCCTTTTGAGAACTTCAAAACATACCCTGATCATTTGAACTGTTTTTGTTTTTTTTTTGGTTGTGCTAACATTGTTCTTACATGCTCAGTGAAGTTTCTTGCAGCATATTTATCAACAAAAATAGATGAATTAATAACCATTATTTTTCCTGAAAAGATTTTATAATATATATCCTAAAACTTTTTTCTTTGTGAGCTTTTTTTCATTGTCAGTTCACTAATTATGATTTTTATTTAGTGTTCTCATTAGAGTGAATCTAATTTGAAAATTTCTGCCTTTTATATAGATAGAAAACATTGGATGTATTTCTCAGTAGTCAGTAAAAACTAGAAGAATTAGGCTGTTAAAGAGATTATTAGTTTGTATTTAAGCACTTCTCAAAATTGATGAAAATCTTTTTTTGTATTGCTTGCTGTATGTTTAAATTGTGGTAACAAATCAAACAACTATTTTAAAAAGTAGGATTATAAACAATTTAACTTATCCTTTCCTTCCTCATAGGTCTCTGCTTGGGGTGGTTATGTGTTTATCATCAACCTTATCCCATTGCATGTATTTGTGTTGTTACTGATGCAGAGATACAGCAAAAGAGTCTACATAGGTAAGTGATCGGACCTTCAAAATCCCTAAGAAATGTATCATATCATTATTTTAATTTAACAGATGTTTCTGTTTGGCCAATATTACAAATGGAAAGATAAAAACAGTTGTCTTTTCTGTTTTTTTACTTGTAAGGATGGTAAGGCATTTTTACATTGTTTTGTTACCAACTTTTTCTTGATGAGTTTCTGTTTGTTATTGTAGCAATTGTTGTTGTTAAGTGCCGCCATCAAGTCAGTTCCAACCCATAGCAACCCTGTATAGGGTTTCCAAGGAGCAGCTGGTGAGCTTGAACCGCCTACTTTGCATTTCAAATGACTTTGCAGTGTGGTGCCTTAACCCGCAGAGCTACACCAGGACTCCTAGGTTTAATATTTGTTGGCCATTTTATTTTTGGGATTGGTTACTTTTATCATGAAAATCATTTGCATTTTTATATAAAAATCTGCTTAATCGCCATAAGAGATTGAGCATTCTTAAACATTTTGACAAACGTATAAAAGCCCAATTTTATATAATATACAAATTGATCGTTTCTTTTTTCTTTAGGAAGTCTGTACAAGTTTTTTGTAATAAGATGTTCTAGAGATGGTAATTCACCTTAGAACTCATTTTGTGTAATACACCAAAACCAAACTTTCTGCCCTCTAGTTGATTCTGACTAAATCTTTACGGGAGCAGACAGCCTCATCTTTTTCTCTCAGAGTGTGGTGGTCCTCAACTGCTGATCTTTGGGTTAATAGTCCAGTGCTTAACCCACAGCATGATAAGGCTCCTTCATTTTATGCCATATCCTCCAGCAGTTCTCCAAGAGAACTGAAAATTTATGTTCACACAAAAACTTTTGCATGAATGTTCATAGCAGCATTAGTCATTGTATCTAGAAAATGAAGACAAGCCGATGTCCATCAAATGATGAGTGGATAAACAAAATGTGGTATATCCGTACAATGGAATATTATTCAGCCATAAAAAGGAATGAAATATTGATACATGCTGTGAATCTTGAAAACATTATGGTAAGTGAAAAAGGCCACATATACTATGATTCCGTTTATATAAGGTATTCAAAAGAGGCAAATCCATAGAGACAATGTAGATTAGATGTTGTCAGGGAGTTGGAGAGGAGATTGGAAATAGAGGAATGGGAAGTGACTGCTAATGTGTTTGACTTTTCTTTATAAGTCAGTGATGGATTTAGGGTTTGTTTCTCTAGTCACTTTAGAAAAGCATGCAATTGGTACTGCTCTGGCTAATTCGTGAGAATGTTCTTTTTCTGAGGGAAGAGTAAGGAGATGATGGTTTAGGGGTATTGTGTGTTGTACCCTATTCTCTTTTACTGTTCCTTCGTGCAGCTATCTAGAAGTAGTTTGGGTGATTTTTATGCTGCTTTCATCGTGTTTACTTTAACATAGAAAGTGATAGTATAGAGCCAACAATTCTCTTTCTTTATCTTCAGTGTATCAGGACTTGTAATATTTAACTTAAGGAGCCCTGGTGGTGCTATAGGATATGCACTGGCCTGCTAATTTCAAGGCTGGCAGCTCAAATCCACCAGCCACTCAGTGGGAGACAGATGAGGCTCCCTGCTCCCATAAAGATTTACAGTTTTGGAAATACAACATAGGGTCATTATGAATTGGAATCAACTTGATAGCAGTGAGTTTGGCTTAATGGCTTAGTAAAATATGGAAGCACTGTAAAATGTTTTTATGATTTGTTCTTTGCTTTTAGATCATAGCATCCTTTGTCTGTAATTCTCCCTCCCCTTAAGCAGAAATACTTAGATGAAGAAATAAGGATTGCTAAGTGGTAAACACCCATAAAATTACGTAAACCACAGTGTGGTTGTGTTCCATAAATCAAATTTCATGAAATGAAGATTTATTATTTGAAATAATTATCAAAGTGGTTTCCCCTTTGAGTACATATTTGCATGTTTCCCTAGAATTGGTTCTTTAGCCAGAAAGAACTATTACAGTTGGTTGACCTGTAGAAAAAGAGACACATATAAGGTAATGTGGTAGGAGGATAGTGGTAGGAGTGAAGTGTCAATGAGAGTGGAGGCAAGTGTAAATTTGGAAATGTTTTGCGAAGATAAATACATAGAAATTGTTGAATTAACTTACAAATGAGGTTCTGATGTTTTAACAAGTATACCCAAACATTATTTTAACATTTATATGAAGACTGGTTTGCAGGTATTACTATGTAACTCTGATGAGTTATAAAATGATTTAACATTTCTCATTTGAAATAAAAAATGATTGCACTTTGCCTTGATGTCAGGGAGGTCCACTGTGGTGATATTTGTAATTGCAAAAACATGGAGCTAGCTTAAATGTCCAATAAGGAAATGATTGTTTAAATTTTAGTGTTGCTGTATCATATAATAAGGAGCTCTGGTAGCATAGTGATTACGAATTGGACTGTTAACCTCAAGGTCAGCAGTTCGAAACTACCAGCTATTCTGCAGAAGAAAGATGAGGCTTTCTGCTCTCATAAAGATTTACAGCTTTGGAAACCCTGGGCAGGGTCACCATGATTCAGAACCGACTCCATGGTATTTAACAACAACTATAATGCACCAGACTGCAAATCCATTTGAACTGCAAGGTCTCACAAGGTTTCACAAGCTGCTCCTTGGAAACCTTATACAGGGTCGCTGTAGCGTAATGGTTACAAATTGGGCTGCGAACCTTAAGGTCAGCAGTTCGAAACTACCAGCCGCTTCACGGAAGAAAGATGAGGCTTTCTACTTCCGTCAAGATTTACAGCCTTGGAAACCCTGTACAGGGTTGCTCTGGGCTGGAATCGACTCGACAGCACTTAACAACAACACTAATAATGTGCCAGACTGCAAATCCATTTGAACTGCAAGGTTGGCAGTTTAAGCTCACAAGCTGCTTCTTGGAAACCTGGCTTGCTATGGGTCGGAACTGACTCAGCGGCACTTCACAACAACCACATCAAATAATGGAGTCCTGGTACGGCACTGTGGGTTAATGCGTCAGACAGTAAATCTGTTTGAACTGCAAGGTCGGCAGTTCAAGCTCATCAGCTATTCCTCGGAAACTCTATGCAGGGTCGCTGTAGGTTGGAACCGACTAGATGGCACTTAACAGTAAAACAGCAACCAGAATTGAGAGGTTCCATAGCGTACTAATATAGAGCCAATCTACCAGGATTCAATTTCTGACCTACTAACTTACTAAATTTAACTTAGTAAGTTTGAGCAAATGATTTGATTTCTTTATGACTTACTATCCTCTTGGGTCTAATAGAGATAACATTTCCTACCTGATGTGGCTCTGTGAGTTAATGCACTGGATTACAGAGTCCGTTCGAACCACAAGGTCAGCAGTTCAATCTCACAATCTGCTCCTTGGAAATCCTGTACAGGGTCTCTATGGGTTGGAACCAATTCGACAGCACTTAGCAGTAACACCTGAAGAATAAGTTATGAAGATAAGTGACTTAATGTTTTGATAGATTCTTATGTTGATAAAAGGTATAGAGAATGGCCAGAAAAGTAGAGCGTGTGCCATAGGCTCAAAGGAGTTTTCAGTTTGCTCATGGTAAAATAAATATATGTAACATAAAGTTTACCATTTTAACTTTTTTTTTTTTTCATTTTAACTATCAGTTATTCACTGGTGTTAATTTCATTCATCATGTTGGTCAACTTTCACCAATATCTACTTTCAAAGCTTTATCATCATCCCAAATAGAAACTGTACTCAGTAAGCAATACTTCCCATCCTCCCCTTTCCCAACCCTTGGGAAATGTACTTTCAGACTTAGCAGTTTGTCTATTCTAGATGTAAATGGGATGATACAATATTTGTCCTTTTTTGTGGGGCTTATTTCACTTAGCATAATGTTTTCAAGACTCATCATAGCCAGTGTAAGAATTTCATTTTATAGGCAGTCTGTGAGTTGCAAACAAGGTCAATTCCTAAGCATGTTGTAGGCATGTCAGAACAAGTACATATGGTTCTTATTTAGCCTTACTTTAGGGGTAGGGAACCTTTTTTTTAATCAAAATTTATAACATCATTTGCAGGCCATACAAAATTATAAACTAAATAATTAGCCTGCTAGCTGTGGAATAATGCACTGGACTGCAAGGTGGGTTTGAACCACAAGTTCAGCACTTCAAACTCACCATTGGCTCCACAGAAACCCTTGAGGGCGCTTAGCAACAACAATGTGATGGGCTGGAACTGCGGTTGCCTCGATAGGGCCAGACCAAATTATTTCACTGTCCTTTTAGGGGCCAAGGACATTCCCCACCCCTGCTTTAGTGTAAGAAAAGGCTCAAAATGTTTTCATTGATTTCAATAAAAGTTACACCTGAAGCAAGTGAAGATGATTATGATTAATGAAGAGTTTGTTGTAGGTAGGGGTTGGTTTCATCATTTCAAAGGACAATTTTACATACCATTAAAATACAGACATGCATAACTTGGTGATTGCTTGCACTATTATCCATTCATTTGTCTGTTAATGGGAATTTGGATTGTTGCCACTTATGGGTATTACAAATAATTCTTCAGTGAACACTGGTCTGAATTCCTGCTTTCAGTTTTGTTTTTGTCTATATTGGTGGTTCAAGTTCACCAATTGCTCCTTGGAAACCCTCTATAGGGTTGTTATGGGTCGGAACCGAATCGACGGCACTTAACAACAGCAACATATAGCTAGGAGGAGAATTGCTGGGTCATATGAGAAATTCTGGTGTGGTGCTATAGGATAAAGCACAAGACTGCAAGGTCGGTCTGAATCACAAGGTTAGTGGTTCAAACACACGACCCTCCTCGGAAATGCTATACAAGGTTGCTATGAGTCAGAACCAACTCTGTGGCACTCAACAACGTAAGAATTCTGTGTTTAACTTTTTGAAGAACATCAAACTATTTTCCACAGCAACTAAGCCACATTCCACTAACAGTGCAAAAGGGTTTCAGTTTCTCCACATCCTTGTGAACAGTTGTGAAC